TTATTATCTAGCAAGTGAGGCCTCAACTCGTCACTTTTCTTTGCGTATGTGGCATATTATATGGATGAGGACTCAAAGACTTCGGAATTGCAAGCCCTCCTTTCATGTCCAACCCACCCCGTACGGTGTATGAATCTTGCCGAATCATACTAATTGCATATCATTTATTTGTAGTACTCACTCATTAATTCAAATCTCATCGTGACATGCAACATACATCTCATGCAAGTGACAACATAAATCACATATGCATCATCGTCATTTTTCACATTATACACATACTTGAATATCATATTGATAATATCAAGTCATCATAAACTTTCTTATCAACATCATCTTTCATATCATGCATATACTTAAATATCATGTACATCAATACAATCAAGTTATCATCATATGCATATAACCACATCATGCAAATTTCATGGATAAAATACTTTGTAATAATCATGTATATATCCCATAAAAATCGCATAATGTACTCACCTTGAATCGTGAACATTCGATAGGGTCGTTCTCTCAGAAACCGCAACCTACATGATAATTCATATCATTCCTAAGCACCTCAGGTAATGGAAACTAAATTGATCATTATTCTCCAACAATCTTAGCACGACTAAACTTAACAAATTTTATTGATCAACCCCTGATACTATCATATCTCAAGTTCGCTCAAATACTTTCTTGAAATATTATTAATTATGTGATGACGTTATAATATTAATTGTTGCTCGTACATTTTATAAAAATGTGCAATACACTACACATTTTCTTGAGTGATAAGTATTTTACCAAAATAACTAAACTAAATAGTTTGCAACGTAAATAATGTTTTCTGGCCAAAACATCTCATTTAAGATTTGCAAATGAATAATGGTGACAACATGTCACACACATATAAATAACGGTCATTCCATAACTTTAAAGTTCAACATAATTAATACTCGCAATAACATTTAGTATACAAAAATTTCGAGTCTAGGGCATTTCGGTAATCTTAAGAAGCCGAATACTAAAGGTATAGCTTTAACCAAATCCCTAAGTTAGAACATTCTTGTTATATTTCATAAGTCGAATATTAAAATTGTTCTTAAAAGTCCAATCCCAAAGCATAGAGGCGTTTTGATAATTTTATTAAGCAATACTCAAAGTTTTGTTAAAATATTGATTCCCTAACTGTAAGGTCATTTTGGTAATTTTACAAGGATAACGATCAAAATGAAGCTTAGATACCAATCCCAATACATAGGGTCATTTCAGTAATTTATAAGGCAAATATATAAAGAATCGCTAAAATATCGATTTCCATATTGTAGGGTCATTTTGGTAATTTCATAAGGATTATGTTCAAAATAAAACTTAGATACCAATCCAAAGACATAGGGTCATTTCGGTAATTGATAAAGCAAACACGTAAAGTATCGCTAAAATACAGATTTCCGCATTATAGGTTCATTTTGGTAATTACATAGGGATTATATTTAAAATAACACTTAGATACCAATTCCCAAGACATAGGGTCATTTTGGTAATTTATAAAGCAAATACGTAAAGTATCGCTAAAATATCGAATTCCACATTGTAAGGTCATTTTGGTAATTTCATAGGAATTAGATTTAAAATAACACTTAGATATCAATGCCCAAGACATTGGGTCATTTCGGTAATTTGTAAAGCAAATACATAAAACATTGTTAAAATATCAATTTCCAAATATAGGGTCGTTTTGATAATTTTATAATAATATAAAAAAATGAAGCTCATAGACCAATCCCCAAAATAAATGATTATTTCGATAAATTTTGGAAGCAAATATGGAAAGTATTGCTAAAATACCAATTTCCCATATATAGGGTCATTTTGGTAACTAAATGAGATAAATAATCGAAATTGGGTCAAAGTTTGCATTTTACAAAATATAAATAAACTTGATAAAGTATCATAAAGTTATTATTGAGAAAAATATTTTCTGGAACTTTAGGGGGTTAAATGTTAATCTCTGAAACTTAAATGTTTAGTGTATGTTAATAATATTAGTGTGTAAAAATAATAAAACTCATGGTTAGCTTACTGTTTAACGCCTCGAGGCTTCTTGGTTGAGGATGCGGGTTCGAAGTCCATCCTCAACACCCTTCTCCCCATTTATTTTTTAAAAAGCAAATGGACGCGGGTCAGACCCGTCCGACCCGGTCGCACAAGCAGTCATGGCTACATGATTTTTAGTTTTTTGAGCTTGAAAATGACTCATTTCTTGACTTTTTTTTTTCTTCATTCTTTTTGCACCAAACTCTTGGTAATGTTTTTACCAACACTTTGACATAAAGAACACGAATTTTTATCAAGAAATGAGTTCCATTTACTCATTAAACATTTGTTTTTAAAACTAAAATTCAACAATTTCAAAACATAAAAATCAAACTAGATAAACACAAATATGAGATATGAGTCTACTGGGGTTTGATAGAGTACTTAAAAACGAAGCTATAGACATAAAAATCAAGAGATTTGGTTAAGAATCTCACCCAAAATCGGTGAAAACCCGAGATTTTTGATTCTGAACTTCAAACTATTCTCTCAAAACTCAACGATTTTACTAGCTATTTGACTCCAAACGATCCTAAGCCCGTGCTCTACAATTTATATGCCAAAAGTTTTGGCTTATTAGTTGAAGAAATCGGCCAAATCGCGAGTTTTAGGATGTGAGGTCGTTTTCTACAAACAATCATATACTTTTGGCAACACAGGGCCCTCATCTTTGAAAAGAGACGACATTTGGCCCTCACAAGTTCCTGACATTTACCACCAGACCCCTGCTCTCACTATTTTAATAAGATTTACGTTTTTTACCCCTAAATCAACATTCTATTTCAATTTTGGTCATTTTAAATTTTAAGATTTCGATAATTATTTCTTTCAATTAATCACATAAATATTTTAACACTTCAAATGAATTTAATAAAAAAATATATTTAAAGGCTTATATAATATTATTTATATATTTAAAAAAATTGGGTTTTACAATTGATAACTTCTGCCCAGAATTATGTACAGGGACGAGACTCGCTGAGCATAGATCGAGCGACTTCGATTATCATTGGATTTATGCTTTCAATGACCCTGTTTTGTTATGGAGTTCTTCTCGAACCATTCAGAGATTATTGCTCTATGTGAGGTGGTTCGAGAGTGTATATGGTTAAGGTCTGACATTACACATATAAGAGGAGCTAGTGGTTTAAGTTCAACCACTTAAAGTCCTACATGCATATATGAAGATAATACAGCTTGCATCGAACACATGGAAGTAGGATATATCAAGGGAGATACTGCAAATCATATTTTGCTGAAGTTTTTTCTATAATCAACAACATACTATCTTTAAGATTCAAGTGAATCAAGTAAGATCTGAGGAGAATGTGACTGATTTGTTTACCAAATCACTACATAAGGCTACATTTGACAAACTTACGGAAATTATTAGAACGCAAATACTTTCTAAACTCCCATGGTTATCGTACGTATCAGGGGAAGTAGTAGACGAAAGGGGGAGTCTACTATACATGTCATATTGATATGTTGTGCTCTTTCCTTCAACCAATGTTTATTTTTCCCATTGGGTTTTGTTCCTTGGTGTAAGGTTTTAGTAAGGCAACATTCTAAACACCTTCTTGTGTTCTTGACTCGTATGATTGATGTACCAATCTAAGGGATAACTGGACTAAAGGAATAGTCAATAAATAGGTGCCTCGTACTCTTTTCTTTGTCGTTTTTGCATTTTTTCCCACTGAGTTTTTATTTTAATGTGGGGTTTTAACAAGACAACAATAATGCACCATCACTTTTTTGTAACCTACGCCTATACCATCTGATCCAGGGTTGGTCATTGATCTAGGTCCAAAATCTGCATCTCCAAATTGTGTACTATCGCTTTTATTATAGACTACTACTATTTATGCATTTTTACTTCTTGTGGACTCGTCTTAAAAATAAATATGTTTGAGCCATATCATTGATTCAAAGGCCCATATCAATAACATATTAGCATCAGGGGAGTTTGATTTGATAGAATTGTTTTGAATGATAGAGATTTTGTGGAAGAATTTAGAATCCAAGGGATTTGGATTGATTTAGAAGAATTTGAAATCTTTGATGTGTTTGGTTGGTAGGATCGAAATGGAATTGAATTTCATGCTTTATAAATAACTTATAAAAAGATTATAAAAATAATTAATCAATTTCCATTAGTTGATTATTTTAAAATAAATGTTTTTAACATATTTTAAAACATTATTACATATAAATCCTATAAAATCTAATGAAACACTACCACACAATTGGTATTTCAAAATCTTATGTTTATGAAATTTCAATAAAATACAAGGATTTTAAATCAAGGAAATCCGTCAAACCAAACATTTGATTGAAATGGAATTCAATTTCAAATCGCTCCAAATCCAATCATTTCCTGGTTTATTTTGCAATATTGGATTGGATTTGAAGTAATTTGGAATTGAATTCCATTTCAATCAAATGTTTGATTCAAATCATTTATTGGATTTGAAGTATTGAAATCCCATAAACATATATTTCGAGATCCCACAGGCTCCTTTGTATTTATGGGATTTCATAAGATTTATATATAAAAATATTTTAAAATATGTTAAAAACATTTGTTTTGTAATAATTAAATAATAAAAAGGTAATTTAATTATTTTTATAATTTATAATTTGTTTTATTAATTATCTATAAGAAATGGAATTCAATTTCATTCTAAATCATACAAACCAAACATTCCAAATAAAAATCTCTTCCATTTCAAATCCTTGCATAGAATCCAAATTCCTCAAAACTATTTCATTAAACTTTCACCCGGTGTTTGATAGAAGGAGACACATAAATGAGACATTATTGTAAAAGAACCATAATTTGTGGTCAACCTATATGTTATAAAAAAAAAAAAGTAGATAACAAGCCATCAAAAGTGAAAAATACATTATTACAACTAATCAAGCTGAAGAAATTGAGAGCGTCGAGAAGATGATGAGGAGGAAGAGGGGGTTGAGGATGCACACGGCTTCAACATGCGAAGCGTGAAAGCCCCAGAAACGGACCCAAGTATTGGAGCCGTTAGATATATCCACAAACCGTCGAAGTTAAACGACACGATGGCTGGACCCAGTGACCTTGCTGGGTTCATCGATCCACTTGAAATGGGCCTACCACAAATATAAAAAACACTTATTAGCTCCAATTTGAACATAAAAAGAAAAGAAAATGTGGCTCATAACTTTTACGCTACCATATGAAATGACATAATTTTTTTCTTGTTCTAGTCTTTGTATCTGACCAACTATGGTTTTATATCCCCTTCTTTTGTCCTTTAATCAAACACCTGTGTGTCACAGATTGATTGATGAATATGAAGTAGACAATAAATTTGAGGATGAATGATTTTGTATTTTTTGAGGTTGCCAACATATTATGGTTGGTTTTTGAATTCACTATATATATATATATATATATATATATATAGGATTACGCTGTGATTAGGACTCCAAGCCCAATGCCAACTGCTACAATGAATCCAGAAAATTGGGTTACCTGAAATTATATTACCAATATAAATATCATCAATAATCAACTTATGTTTTATATGAAGAGAAGAGATGTTCGCTAAATTACAAGTGAGAGAAAGAGGGTATACATACAGATGGAGGTGCATGAACCAACGAAGCGGTAAGAAACAATACGAAGAAGGTTGACATGAACTCCGCCCAGAATGCGGCCGAGTATCCCGCAAGTGGTCTCGTGGTCATCACCTCGGGTTTCATGCCGTACACCAACGTTGCTGCATACGTCGCAATGGCAGAACCTGCAACATGGGCCACTATATACAACGGAACCTTTTCCAAACACAAAATATGAAACAAGAGAACAATTAAATCTATGGGTTATTTAGGGTTTCTAAGAGTCATTTGGTGTGAAAAATGTATATGTTATTAAGTAAGCACCTTTTTCCATGGAAATGGACCGACAGTAGCGAATGCTATGGTGACGGCAGGGTTAACATGAGCACCAGAAATATGGCCAATGGAGAAAACCACCATGATCACTGCTAATGCCGCTGTGACTGCATATTCCAGTAACCCTACTTGGCCTCTCATCAATTCAGTGCTTGCAATTATCCCACCAATGCTGAACATTACAATAAAACTCCCCAAGGCTTCTGCTACAACCTGCAAGATCGATATCAAAACCCTTGAGTTATGCTTTTAATTTTGCGGATCGTTTTAATACAGTTTTTTACCTGTCTAACAAGGGTTCTGTCCATTTGGAGTGGAAAGTATAAGAAAGACGGACTCTTAACAATAATGTCTTCGCCTGGGCCTCTTTCGAGTGTATTTGAAGAGCCTGTTTCTTGATCAAATTTCGACCGATTGGTAGTGGATACTTCTTTAGATGCTTCACAAGGTTGCTCATCTTTAAACAAGCCTGTCATTATTGATATTAATTGATCTCGACAGAGTTGTGAATAGGATTAAAATGTATCTATACTTGTATAAATAAAAAGCATTAGAGTTGTTTGCTAGTCACACAATTGAGGTTGGGTTAAATTAGGGTTAGAGTTGAGGAATTTGCTTGTGTTTCTGGCTAAAAGTCGTTCACCTGCGCATTTCACATGCTTGTTGTGTGGTGATAACTAAGAGAAGAAATTGTGTCATGCAACTTTCTTGCCTTTTTGGATAAGCAATTCAATTAAGTTCTCATGGACAACGTTTGTACCAAAGAGCACGGGTTCAAATACGTATAAAACACTAACCAAAGACCCCAGTGAATAAGTCCAAACCTATTTCTGTTAGAATATTTTTTAACAAAGTACAACGATTAGATTGCATAAATTAGAATATCTTTAACAAAGTATTGTTGACATAGTAAGCTAGACCAGTTTGACCAGACAGTTACATCCGTCAAATACTTCTTAACCACTGTTACAGTTATGTCGGTTCTATGAACCATTGTGTCTGTTAATTGTGTCGTTTAGATTTGTATATATATGTATGTTCATACTACTAGAAAGGTTGTTGTGATTTTAATAAGAAAAAGTCAATGTTTCTTTGTATATTGCATCTTACTTAATCCTTCCAACATCTGGTATTAGAGCCATCATGGCTTCCAACCGCTGCAAACAGCAACGCCTTCCAACCGCTGCAAACAACAACACCTTCCAACCGCAACTGCCGAAATTGACGGGACAAAATTATCACCATTGGAGTGTGCAGATGAGAGTGTTGTACGAATCACAGGATCTTTGGACATACATCGAAAAAGGCTATACAGAACTTGTTCCTGTCGAAGGCACAACCCCTCAACAAATTGCAGACGATAAAGAAACTCAAAGGAAAGACAAGAAAGCACTGTTTTTCATCTTCCGGGCAATAGATGAAAACATCTTTGAACGCATTTCCAATTCACGAACATCCAAACAAGCATGAGATATCCTTTACAAGACATACCATGGGGAGGAATGAGTGAAAATAGTAAGATTGCAGACATTACGATATTAGTTCGACAATACGAAGATGAAAGAAAACAAAAGAATAGAAGAGTATTACAATAGAGTGATTGTCTTGTTGAATCAGATGAGGCTTAATGGCGAGACCATCGAAGATCAATGAGTGGTAGAAAATATTTTAAGAAGCATTACAAGGAAATTCGAGTACGTAGTCATGGCAATAGAAGAATCGAAGGATATAGCAGATCTCTCTCTTGAAAATAATAAGGTGTTTCCTATAAGATTTCAAGATGAACACTTCTTTAATTTCAACATGATAACTCGAAATTCTTCTCTGCTGTGGCATCATCGTTATGGACACATTAACTTTGACTCACTCTCTTACATGTGTCGTCACAATATGGTTAGAGGGATGCCTATAATAAGTAAATTAAATGAAATCTGTGAGGCTTGTACGCTGGGAAAACACTCAAGGGAGTTCTTTCCACAGGATAAAGTATGTTGGGCTTCAAAGGTCCTTGAACTCATTCACTAGGACGTATGTGGACCAATGAGGACGGTTTCAATCGGTAGAAGTAAGTATATTCTAACTTTTATTGACGATTTTAGCAGAAAGATCTGGTTATATTTTTTGAAAGAGAAAGGAGAAGTCTTTGGTATGTTTGTGAATTTTAAAACATTCGTTGAGAACCAAAGCGAACAAAAGATAAAGTGTTTACGAACTGATCGTGGAGGTGAGTTCAATTCAACCCAGTTTCAAGAATACTTAAAGGAGAACGGGATTAATCATCAACTTACGACAAAGTTACACCCCCCAACAGAATGGGGTAGCGGAGAGGAAAAATAGGAGTTTACTTGAATTGCTAGAACTATGCTTAAAAGCAAAAAATTACCTGATATGTTCTGGGTCGAAGCCGTCAGATGTGTTGCATATTTAATGAATAGGTCTTCTGCTAAAGCTCTTGAGGATGTAACACCCCAAGAAGCTTGGTGGGGGCACAAACCCGGAGTAAGTCATCTTAGAACTTTCGGTTGTCTACCCTATTCACATGTTCCTGAGCAAAGAAGAAGTAAACTCGACGACAGATCAAAAGAAGTAAACTCGACGACAGATCAGAAAAAGTGATATTTGTTGGTTATAGTGACCAATCCAAGGCATACAAGTTGTATAATCCACTTACCAAATGAGCCATAATCAGCAAAGATGTCTTATTTGATGAAGACAAAGCTTGGAACGAACCTATTGAAAATAGCGATGGCGTACAAGTAGATTTGAACGACGACAAGAATAAAAGTCCGATACGTGAAACGAATGATACTAATGAAAGTCCTTCATTGCCTTTTAACTCTCCTCAATCCACCCACAATGAAGACTTGTCCCCATCAAGCTCCGAATCCACCCACAATGAAGACTCGTCCCTATCAAGCTCCGAATCACCTACAAAGAAGTATAGAAGCTTAAGAGATTTATATGAGGATACTCAAAGACTAAATCTAGATGATATTGTAGATTTCGCTCTCTTCGCAGATGCAGATTCAGTTCTATTTGAAGAAGCATGCAAAAATGAAAAATGGAGACGAGCAATGGACGAAGAAATAAAGGCTATTAAGAAAAATGGTATGTGGAAATTGGTAGATCTACCCGAAGGGCATAAATCTGTTGACGTCAAATGGGTATAGAAAACCAAGTTAAATGAAAAGGGTGAAGTTGATAAACTGAAAGCAAGGTTGGTCGTCAAAGGATATAAACAACAGCATGGGGTTGATTTCCAGGTGGTTTTTGCACTAGTCATACGTATGGAAACACTAAGGTTAGTTCTTACCATAGCCTCTCATAAAAAATGGATGGTCTATCAAATGGACGTCAAATCTACGTTTTTAAATGGATTTATTGAAGAGGATGTTTACATAGACCAACCCCCTGGTTATGTTGAAACAGGGAATGAGAGGAAGGTATGTCACTTGAAGAGAACCTTATACGGACTAAGACAATCCCCATGGGCTTGGTACAGTAGGATAGAAAAATACTTCATTGAGAATGGTTTCCAAAAATGCATTTACGGGCACACCTTATTCCTCAAAAATGACAAAGGTATGTCCCTTATTATATGCATCTATGTAGATGATCTAGTTATTACTGGGAATTCTCATGAGGTGATAAAATAATTCAAGGATTCCATGAAAATGGAATTTTAAATGACGGATATGGGCTCACTTCATTACTTTCTGAGCATTGAGATAAAGCAAAGTTAAAATGGAATCTTGATTTCTCAGCAGAAGTGTGCTAAGGATGTTTTGAAAAACAATGAATATGAATAACTCTGAGCCTATCTCAACTCCCATGGAGTTTCGGCTAAAACTGACTAAGAGTGGATTGGAAGATCATGTTGACCAAAGATTATATCAAAGCGCGATAGGAAGTCTTACGTACCTTACTGCTACACACCCAGACATTATGTTTCCATTTAGTGTGATGAGTAGGTTCATGGAAGTTCCTAAGGGAAGCAGTCAAGCGAATTTTACGATTCATAATCGGGACTCTTAATCATGGAATATTTTATGAAAGAACACAGGAAACAAATCTGAAGGGTTTTTGCGATAGTGACTTTGGGAGTAGCCTTGATGATGGGAAAAGTACTACGGGCTACATCTTTAACATTGGATCTAGAGCAATCTCGTGGCAATCGAAGAAGCAGAAAACTGTTGCCTTATCTTCTTCCGAAGCAGAATATATGGCTTTAAGCATGGCCGGATGTCAAGCTCTATGGTTAAGAGGAATCATGAAAGACTTACAGATGGAGCAAGTTTCTGCAACAAAAATTCATTGTGACAACAAGTCCGCCATTGCTCTCACAAAGAACCCCGTGTTCCATGGCAAGAGTAAGCATATAAGGATCATACATCATTTTATTCATGAATTGGTTCACAACAAAGAAGTTGAAGTTGATTTCTGTGGCACAAAAGATCAGGTTGCTAATATCTTGACTAAGGCTCTTCAAGTGGGAAATTTTGAGCGTCTGAAAAAGGAGCTTGGGGTGGTATGTGTCTAGCTTATGGGGGAATGTTTTGAAAATAGTAAGTTAGACCAGTTTGACAAAACAGTTACATCTGTCAAATATTTCTTAACCACCATTACAGTTATGTCGGTGCTATGAACCATTGTGTTTGTTATTTGTGTCGTTTAGATTTTTATATATATGTATGTTCATACTACTAGAAAGGTTGTTGTGATTTTAATAAGAAAAAGTCACTATTTCTTTGTATATTGCATCTTACTTAATCCTTCCAACAAGTATAACAATTAGATTGCATAAATATAGAGATAAGGAGAAGGAAAAGATATCCAGGTCGTAGAAGGGTTTGAAGCTTTGATTTACATCCACATTCTTGAACAATAATTATGATGCATTCTTGAATTCGGGGTAAAAAGAAAAGAAAAGAAAGGGAGAGAAAAGAAATGAAAGGAAAATAATTTATTATTTGTATTCTTGAAAATGAAGGAAAAGAAAGTAAGAAAAATTAACATATTCTTGAGTGTGAGAGAAAAGAAAGTAAAATGTCATTTTTATAAAAATATGTCCTTCATAATGAAAGGTTGGGTATTTTTGTAATTTAATAAATTTTTTAAAGGCTTTTAATTTCTTTTCCTCCCACATCTAGAAGAAAAGATTTGGGAGGAAACTTATGATAATTTTTTTCTTTTTCGTATCATTTCTCTGCTAAAAAAGTTTCGAGAACACGAGTTTTTTTTACATTCGTCCCCTAATTTCCTTTCTAAAAGATGTCATGAGAACACAATGTTAATGCTAAGAGAGAAACTTGTTAAAACACTCTTTAAAGTTAACACCTATTTACAAGATGATTGTGCAACACAATCTTAACTTTCACTACAACAAAATCGGATTTATAGGACACCTAAAGTGTATAAGTGTCCTAATTGAATGCTTTATAGAACTTAGTTTTATCGGATCAAATAGTAAAACATC